CCATCTGCTTGACCAAAATCTGACAATTGAAGAGAACCTTGAGTTCTAGGCATGTTGTAGCTCAAGATAATTAGTGTGTGGACCATTTTCATTTATATAGTGCTCTGTGAACACAAATTAGTTAGCATAAATCAGTTAAATGATGAAAAATTAGGTGTCTATTTACTTGTGACCACTCAGTGTACATATACTTTCATTAGTTGCAATAATGCCGTGTTTAAAAACTTCAAGTATAGTTTATTGCAACTCATTTTTATGATTATAGAATGGAAGGCAAAGGAACCTACATTTTACCTACTGGAACCCGTTACGAAGGAGAGTTTAAAAATGGAATGTTTCATGGTAACGGGAAAATGATTTTTCCAAATGGTGGAATCTTCGTAGGAGAATGGAATAGCGGAAAAACTACCACAGTAAGATTTATAAGTCTGAAGATTTATAACACTAAAAACGGGTTTTCGACACTCGTTGTGGGCAAAGCATAGCTAGACCATCGTTTAGCTTAGCACTTAAAAACAAACAAACAAAACGAGGATTTTTCTTCCCACAGTCATGGACTGGTCTGTTTTTAACTTGTCAACTTACTTAAGTATACTTGTACTAGTTGATCTAAATGATTATATAATTAGTTGTAATTCTTGTTATCTATATAAATATACGTTTCCACGTTTCTTGATCAATCGGCACCAAACTTGCCACAATGATACAGTATGACATGAGGAAGGTCATGAGCTATTATTGTAATAAGTGCCGAAAACCCCTTAAGATACACGAGTATTATCTCATATTATATATAGTAAAATAGGAACTGGGGGGGGGGGGCTTTACCCAAAATAACTTTAGAGGGAGCCAACACTATTTTTAGTCTCTCCCAATATTTCAAAATATTTTTTTTTATTTCGAATTGTTGTTTGTTTTTAAGCACAAAGCTACACGTATGTCGAAACCTGGTTTTTAACGTATTAGTGTTGAGACTTGCGGCTAAGGGCCATTCTGTTTCAAAGGCAGTGTTAGAGAAAGTCCATCGCGTGGTGCCTCTCATGTTCAATAAATAATATAATTTATACAATGCAGGGGAAGTCGTCAGCCTGCACAGGTATGTTGTGGATGCAGGGCTTGCTCCCCTTACCCTCTCATTTTTAAACATCTTCATACGAAAAACTTGTGAATTAGCATGGTGATCCTATGTGTAACTTTCGCTTTTACAGGGATGCTTTACATTTGCTGATGGCCTTCAATACAGTGAAGAAAACTGGACCTACTGTCAATATCCCGACAGAAGATTTTGGTCCGAAATCTGCAACGGTTTGAAACCAGCAGGCAAGTAGTCATAACCCATCATAAATTGTTTGTTTGTTTGTTTTGAATTTTGCGCAAAGCTACACAAGGGCTATCTGCGCTAGCCGTCACTAATTTAGCAGTGTAGGACTAGAGGAAAGGCAGCTAGTCACCACCGCCAACTCTTGGGCTACTCTTTTACCAACGAATAGTGGGATTGACCGTCACATTATAACGCCCCCACGGCTGAAAGGGCGAGTATGTTTGGTGTGACGGGGATTCGAACCTGCGACCCTCAGAGTGCGAGTCGAGTGCCCTAACTACCTGGCCATGCCGGGGCCCCATCATAAAATTGATCAAGTTGTACCTGAAATCACGTTATAAAACTTATGATAAGTGTGCCGTATTTTTATTTTCTATTGTCTTTGTTTTACCCCATCCGTTTTCCTCAGTACATGTTCTTAAAATTGAAATAATTCATTATGTAGAACACTTCGAATGAACAACACTGTTGTGCAAACACGCCCCGAACTTTATATTTGACAGTAAACCTTTAATTATTTCTCTGTCTCATAACTGTAGAATCTTGTAGTTGCTTAATTTGACAAAGTAGAAGTTACTGTTGGTTCAAATAATGGTAGATGTAAAACTGTAGCGACACAAAATAAATTATATAAAAATATATGTTACTCATGACACTACGTAGACTATTCCAGCTCTCCTCAATCTGTCTAATGAATAATTTTAGTAATGCGCTGATATTATTCTCGCAAGGGAACAAGGCACTTTTAATATTTTAATCCCTTTTGGGCCAAACATATTCTTTCTGGAATATTCTCAGTGGTACAAGTCAAATGACTGGATCTCACTTCGTTATTGGTACTACTTTACACTGTGTATTAATTTATTAACCACTGGCTAATTTTTTAAAAATGGTTTAATAAACTAGAGGGACACTCAGTAGAGCGCATACCTCCGCCACGCAGCGTTGATCATATTCTGCCATAAAAAAAATACGAAAATATGTCCGTCGTTATCAACGGACACGGACAATTTTCGGCAGAACAATGACTAATAATATTCTACATATATCCACAAAGTTTCATCAAAATTAGATCATTTTTAATTAAGTTATAGAGCAAAACAGTGTGGAAATCGGTCCCCATGTTAACACATAGGGATTTTTTTGTATTTTAGTGACCTTGACTCTCCAAAAACTAATCATTATAAGTGTGATCATATTCCAAATGTCTACCAAATTTTATTTACATTCATTCAGTCGTTTCGAAAAATCTTGCTGACAAACACAGGGTTGAAAACATAACCTTCGTCCACCTCTGGTGACGGATGTAATAAGAGCATTTTGTAAGAAGTAGCTTGTGCTGCCATCTATGGATAGGTCTAACAATTAAAGTATGTCGCCTTTTATATTTTTCTAGATTATACGAAATATCATTCATGGGTGAACCGAAAGCATGTAATAGAAAACTGAACTCGAAGTTTATGTTTTTAATATTCTATTCACAACGTGTCATACACATTTGATCATTTAGTAAAGTGTAATCGAAGTTGTAAACACGCCAACAGTTTCTAAAGCGCAATAATGTTTTCAATTGACATATCATCAGATGTTTACATTATCTATATCATTTTGAATGTACTAACGAAAACAAGTTTACAATAGGTTTAGTCTCAATTCTGTGGATCTTAACCGAAAGAAAGATTATGGATTTTATCGAAATTCTTGTATCTCAACAGGTCAGTCTCAGCAAACCAACAAACAGCCACCTGAAGCTATTCCTTATGGATGTTTTGACACTGGAGATGGAATACACGATCCTCAGACTGGTGTTGTAGTTAACTACAAGGGTGAATTTAGTCGTAACGCAGGTATGCAAGTTTTATTTTTATTTGTTTCCGTAATGTAGCTGTAGAGAATTCAACAACTGATGTTGTTGTGGAATTTTAGACTGATTCTAATTCTAATATTTATGTTTTTTTGTTGATTTTTAAGTCATTCAATGGAATTCCTTGAAGTTCATGGAACCTGTAATTATGT